AACAGCTTTTGTATGTGAGTGTGTGAGACACCACTGTTTACACTGCCCCTGTTTACTCCTCCCTTACCAGGGTCACATGAGGAGAGCCATGCATGTTACCTGTCTTTTTCTTTCTGGCCTTTCCTCTCTGTCTCTCTACACCACAAACCTTGGCACTCTCTCCTGCTTTTCCTTTTTCTCCCTCTCTCTCTCACAGGAAATATTAATTAATTAGTAATGGCAGCTCTGCAGTCCTAGTACTGCTCCACTCACGAATATGCAGGGCGAGAGAGAGCGTGCGAAGGGCAGAAAGGATGGAGGGAGAGGAACATGACAGCAGAGAGAACAAGAAAGCTGGAGAAATGCACAATGAAAGGGAGGGAGGCAAGAAGAGTGATTAGGGAGGGAAGATAGATAGGTTGTATGAAGGAAATGGAGAATGAAAAGTGGGAGAGAGGATGCAGAATGTAATGAAAGAGAAAGGAGATTGGTGGAGGCTGCTGTTCTGTGTGGCTCTGCCTTTTTCTGTCTGGGCCATGCTGACTCCCCTGAGGCCTGTGGATCAGTAGACATTAATCTTTCTGTTTAATGACCTGCCGCTGCTCTAATGACTCCTGCACACAAACCTGTGGCTGTAGGGACACACTCATTCTCTCGCTCTCTTGCTCTCTGTGCTTACTTCCGGTACATTAATTCTGCTTTTAGGGGTTTGTGTGTATTCAGCAAAGGAAAAGGTGTAAGCTACTCTCTACCTGCCTCTCTTTTGGCTCAAGTAAGGGCACTACACACTTGATCTGACATCTTGATCTGAGATAGCATGGCATTTAGTCAGTTTAGGCCAAGGATCCATCAAAGACCCCTGAGTACTCATTTCCCTCTCTCTAGCTCTCACTCTCTCAAAAAAGGTCAGTATGTTCTGGCCCCTTATGCAGGAGGAGAGTGACATAAAAAATGTTCGATGTGTCACATGAACTCAGATCTGCCTCTTAATTTGAGTGCTTTTGATACATGCTAGCAAACTCCACCTTAAAGTTGCCGTTAGTGTTTTGAGAGTAAAAGAATATGCACAGAGTAAAACAGGTTTCATTTATTGGTTGTTTTGTGGGATGGGTGACACTTTTTTAGTATTTATTTAGAGGAGATAATTAGAGGGGCTTTAATGACTTCCTAAATTAAGTTGATCAGATTTGAGGGAACGTAGTAACTGGTGTTTGAGGATTCTTTTTGGCCATTTTTGCCAACAAAAAGGGAATTATTTTTACAAGAAATATCTAAAAGGGTAAACATTTTATTTATTTATTGCAGTTAAGTGGGCTTGCTGTTAAGTGTATGGTGCTATGAAGACATCAATGCACTGCACAGTTTTCTTGCAGAAACTTAGTTGCTAAGAAGCCTTATTGATCACTAGTGAAAACATTTGCAAGATCATTAAAAAGTGTCGTTTTCTAGTGTCCCTGTTTGTTTGACTGCCTCTCTCTCGCTAGACCACCAGACACAAGGTCCTTATAAACGCTTGATGTAAACCAGACGCCTCTTTGTCGAGAAAGAACAGAGGAGCTACTATCTGGTAGCAGTGACTGATTTCGTCTAACCTACCGAAACAGATATGATGGTGTTTGTTTATGTATGAGGGATCTATGCAGTCACTTACTGTCCTGTTCTTTGAAAAGCAGCCCATCCATTAGCTGTGTCACCCTCACCTTGATGTTCCTGTCACACCAGTGCTCCATGTCCATGTACACGTCTGGCTAAGATGTGGAATTTCTATATAGAACCATGAACACTAAGGATAGTTTTGCATACTTAATTGGTTCTTTACTTGGTATAATGGTTCTTCATATTGATGAAGAATGTGTTTGTATATGGTTCGATATTGAACCTTTTATGAAAAGGGTACTGTATAGCACCAAAAAGGGTTCTTAAGTTGTTGCAAGCTTGACATTGAACCCATGAACCCTTTTTGGTATCTTCAGTGGTTGCCTTACTGGTTTAAAAACACAAATGGGAAAAATTTGACAACCTTGCTTGCAACGCAAAACATCTCCAAAGTATGACCTTTGCCAAACTGCCATTTTCAAATGATTAAGTAAAGACAAAACACTTATGTTTTGCTGGCCCATGTAGATTCAGTGAAAGGTGTGGCTTGCCACTCCTTCAAAAGTTAGAATTTGTTAATACCTTTTGCTAATAGAAATTGTGGAAGTTGAAAATTTATGCTCTGCTAATAGACTTTAAACATTTGTTTTTCATGTTACTGTTTTAGGACTCGCTTCCTTTGGTGAGCAAATTAATGGCGCCCTCCATAATGGGAATAAACTCCTGCTACCACATTCACAAACCAAATAACTTACTTTGATTGCCTGCTCTTTTTGTCTTAATCATTTGAAAATGGCTGTTTGGCAAAGGGGTCGTACTTTGCGTTTTTTCCCCATTCTTTCAAAAATCACTAGACTAGTTGAATTTTCTCACATTTTCAAATTTTCCTCACCATTTAAAACAAAACAGCCTCTCACAAGGCCTGGGTGATAAATGATTAGCACAATGTTTTCCCCCTTGTGGACACACTTCAGACTGCTAAACAAGCCTGAGTGAGTGTGTGTGTTCTTCGTAATGTTTTTCATAGATATTTCCTTTTCTAAGCAACATCTGAGCAATTTTTGGTCGCGACACAAGCTTGATAATTGTAAATATGATAAACATATTTCTATAATTCTCGTGACAAATTTTTTTTTTTCTGAAAATGCATAGTTTTAGATCTGTCTACCACTGCATTTAAATATTTTTCTTTTGTGCATATTATTTTAGGTTTAGATTACATATTGCATATTCAATCCTGCTTTGAATGGTGGCCTTTTTTAAGTTACTGTAGAGCAGGGGTGTTTAAAATTCTGTAAGGTCCAGTTAGAGAAAATTTCCTCAAGCAAAGATCTGGAACATCATAATGTTTAACTTGTATCATGATTCAGTGCCATATACTGTTTACTGAAGTAGCCTAGTAGTTATATTAATATCTTATGCAGTCAACAACTGAATATCAAATCAAATAAAGTGCAACTCAGTAATATTTCAACAACATTTGTAAGTCTTCTCTTTTTAGAGCATGCATGTGAAATAACTTCCCTCTGACTCACTTTCTTCTCCGACTGCTGTGTCTTGCCTAGTCCCATGTGTGATTATTTACAACGCATGCAATTGGTCTGTGAGTTTCCCGGGCTGCTGAAGCGGTACCGTAAAGGCAGAAAAAGTAGTTATGCTGATTAAAATAGGACGACCCCGTTGAAATTAAATAATTCTCCATAGTTTATTGGTTATAGGTCCAGGTCCGCATAGGACAGCATCTCGGTCTGGACTCGGACCGCGGTCCGCCTATTAGTGACCTCTGCTGTAGAGGGGAAAAAAAAGGCAAAAAGTGGGTGGTATGGTCTTGGGTCAAGGTAATAATTCTTCATAGTCTGAATGAGGACATGAGTGTTTAGCACATACAGGATTTCACACTTTATTTGATTATCATTAGTGAGATCATTACGACCTTTACTAAGGGCTGGTTTAGACCTAATTAGTGCTGGTCTGAGTAACCAGTTTATCTTGAATATTTGCAAAGTACTTTTGCCGTTTGTTTCTCTGATTACTCTTTAAAAACAGCCCAGAGTGCTTTCTTTTGTCGCTGCTCTAGAGCACAGTCCCTGCCATCTAGTATGGAAAGCCCATTTCTAATTACACAATTTGCATAGCCTGTGTAGTTGCTGGTTTTTCAACAAGTGATGGATGTATTTGTCCTATTTTACATTCTTTATTATATATATTTTTAACTTAAACTCACTACATGAAGTACGTAAAGAGGCAAACAAACTTGAACAGTCTGATGTTTTTCAGATTAATGTTTTTCTGTTTAAATAAACATTTGAGCAGAAGCTGGTCTTGAGCCGTGATAGTGTGTCCACTCGCGACAGAGAGCCCAACGTATTCGCTGTTGTTTCTAAAGGAGCCTCATGTGGTCTCAGTCTGTGGTCATGCCATGCCATGTACGTGTGTATATGTTTTGTGTGTGTGTTTGGTATTGCGGCTGATGGAACCTGCAGGGAGCTGTGCAGTGCAGAGACATGTTTGAAAGGAGCTTAAGCTCTGGCAGGTCTGAGCACTGACTCCTAATGAGATTACTGAAGCATGGAGGCCACAGTCAACTGTGAGCCAGAACCACACCAACAGCTGTTATTAATGCGGTCTACAAGGAGCTCTGCCTACAACAGCTGCAGCTAAGAGAAGCCTTCACGCGTGCACTTGCTCTCTGTATGCATAGATGTGTACACAGACAGTTGAAAGGAAATTGGCTTATCTTTGAACATTTGAATGCATTTGTTGCATTTGTGGTAGAGATAAGAGCAGTATGTAAGCCAGTGTCCTATGACTGACTATGTGAATCTGCTACTGTGGAAGCATCCTGGGTCCAAGTCGTACAGGCAGGGTATCACTTTATTAATTGTCAGACAGTAGCCTAGTTACAGCACAACACAGCACCAAAAAATTAAGTGTGTAAGGGTGGGGGGAAAATTATACAGCATAGTATTTTGATACTCTGTGTAAAAAGATTGTTTTAAAATGTATTCATTATTATTTTAATATATAATGTCCTTTGGAGCACTAAAGGGATATGTCGTTTATTTTATTCCACAAGATTTGGACTGAAACCATTGGCTGGATACCATAGCGGATTAGGCCTTCACCCCCTTACATGAGACCTAGGTTCTATTCCTGCTCAATTCCATATATGCGATTGCCTGGAGGTCTACCCTATAACAAGAGCAGTCTTTGAGCAAGACTGCTTACTTTATGTTCAATTACCACTTTTAATCAGTGCAAAAGCCTCTGTGAAATTTATGAATGTTAGAGCACAAGTTATGTTTGCTACTTCAGAATTTTATTTTGCGTCAGTGAAAAAGTGAGATGAACAAAGTGTAAGCTTTAAGTCAGAGTTTTCATTTGGAGGCTGTAACTCTATATGTATGTCTTTGTGTGTTTGCCAGGTGAGGATGATGGTGTGTGGGAGAGTGGCCTGTCATATGAGTGTCGTACGCTGCTCTTCAAAGCCATCCACAACCTGCTGGAACGGTGCCTCATGAACCGCAGCTTTGTGCGCATTGGAAAGTGGTTTGTCAAGCCCTATGAGAAGGATGAGAAGCCCATTAACAAAAGGTAAGGCTGCCTTTCCTGAATTCTCAGAGAGACCTCCACATTGAATCTAAAATTCAGTAAAGTGACTTTACTGTTTGGGAGCTCGATCGGAAGCGATTTATGGTGCAGGCGGTCTAGTAGTGTGAGAGGATAAACCAGTCAATGTTTAGTCTGTACTAAATTCATTGGAGATCCTCAGATATTTTCAAACGTTTGCTCAAGTCCTGTAGTGAGAGAGTCAGTGATGTAACTCATTGAGTGATTTAGGCAACAGCTAGTGACAGAGCCAGGGGAGAGAAAAGAAAAGTTGGAGAGACGTGTGTGCACTGGACTGTGGAGACGGAGGAGAAGCTGTTCAAGTTCAGGGAAATAGTCACTCTCTTTACAGTTTCAAGACAGCAACCAGTTAATAGTAAAATATTTCTCCAGTTCTGACTGTGATATCTGCGTTTCAACCTCATGGTCATCCCCAGTTTGTTTTCACAATATTTCTTGTGCGTGCATAAGAGCAGGAACAGGTCCGGTTTGTTTGTATTGTGTGTTAACAGGAGAGAGCTGGGATTTTAAATGCTTTTGGTAGCCAGAACTCAGGTTTTGTACCCTCTTTTTGTCTTACCGTCTAGTGTGCTGGTCCTCATAACAAAATAATAAGAAATTCTGTTAAAGATGTACGTTAAGCGCGTGATGTGCTCTGTTTTATTTTAATAAATGGGGTCTTTGAGTTATTATCAGGACATTTGTATGGGGAGGGCTGTGGTGTTACAGGCTAGGCTATATCTTTAAGTTTTGAGTGTCACTGCTAGCCAGTGCAGTGTGATATTAGGGTCTGTTCCATTAAGGTATTGCACTATTTTTGTCTTTGTGGTAATGAAGTCAGTAAGATCAGAACAGAAGCTGGGAGATAATGCACCGACTGAATGACAACACCGACTGAATGACAAAACAAAAACAATTAACTAAAAACAGGCTGGTTTTGCAGCTTAGTTTTCATTAATGGTCTGTATGGACTTTGCAACTTGAGCACTGCATCAAGCTTTTATTTTTAAAAAGAGAGAAATTTTTTTTCAGATATGGGCCCTTTAAAAGGCAGATTTATGCTTTCCGCTTCTCTTTAGGCCAAACTAGGGCTGTCATAATAATAAAAAAAAGAATATCCTTTAAACTAAATGAAAGAATGCACGGTTGAATGCAGAAAATGTTTATTCATCTCCTGGCATGTTCCAAGTCAGGAGCTGCATGACTGTATTACTAGGGGTCGACAGGGCCAATACAGATTATTAGTAATTAAGCACACCGATAACCACTATTTGGGGCTGAGTTTTATTTACCATAAATTTAATGTTTATAGGGTGAAAATTTACAAGAAGGCAACTCTTACTGACAGCTTACAAATAAGTAAAAACAACATTTAATATTAGAATGTTATTAAAAAGTGTTATTAAAAAAGCTTTGAACTTTACACCAGGGGTTCTTGACCTTTAGGCCTGCCTGTTTAATTTGGAAACACATTAGCTCACGAGATCAAAACGTAGTAGAATAAAGCTTTTTTTCTTTTATTGAGTGCAGACAAAACCTGAGAGTTAGGGCCTGAAAAAAGTAAGATTGTTAATTTCAGTCACAGAAACTTTGTAATGAAACCTTAAAAAAAATTTCTAGTGATGTTAAAAATTTCTTTTTTGGGAAACTGTTTTGGACTGTGATGTTATGGAAACAACTGACCACTATACAACCTGCAGTCCATCGTTGTAACCTAGTCACTGCCACCCCACCTCCTTGATATTTGCTTTTGTATGACTAATTAATCGATTTGAATTTACCCTTTATCAAGTCACTGATGTTTGGCCAGAAATACATTTGGGCATCCACGTAGCAAAATGTGTATCCTCGCTATAATTTTATTGCTCTGCTGTTACTTGCAGAAGCTTGTGCAGCAGAACCGATATGAGTGTCTATTAAGTGTCGGACGTTAGACATGTGAGGACAGTACAGCAGAATACACTTTTTTTGTGCCTGCTTTTAAATGACATGCTGTGTGTCTTTAAATTCAGTTTTTTCATTGTAAATGTAAGCCCGATAAACAATGACAGTAAACATCTCAGCGATCATGCAGTGTTGTCACTTCTTTGTAAAAAGCGACAATAAGGATTTATTAAACGTGTATGACTTTTGTTTAAAATGTTAATTAATAAATAAGTCGTCATCTTGTGTGTGTGTGTGTGTGTGTGTGTGTAGAGAGTGAGTGGAATTATATGACTCTTCGTTGTGCTTTTTTCCAGCTGCCTTGTTCAACCTCATGTTTTAGCTTTCCTCATTTTATGGAAGTGAAAGCAGGCACTGCTTTCTATTCCTGTGTTTCTCACAAACACCAAACAGCATGTTTGATTGGATTTACTCGACACATGGTCCACATCTCTACCTGTACTTAGACTACACAATTGTAGATTGGTTGTGCTCAATGTGACATCCGCATGAAAAAGGGCGTCTAATGTGCAGCTGTGAGCAGTGTAGGCCTATGTACCATTTATTTTACAGCCATCTTGTGGCCCTCATTTTGCGAATAAGTTGTTTTAATGCTGACCTTTTGCGAATGATTGATAGTTTTAGTTATGTAGCTTACTTACATTTGATCATCTTAAAAAAATGCATTTAATATTTTAATATTTGAATTTTGGATAAAAAACAAGGAGGAAATTCCTTTTTTATTTCTCATCACAGCTAACAGCCTTACTAGTCAGTGATGTCCCCCAGTGTTACCAAGAGCAGGGGATGAACTTGGCAGCTAAGTAGTGGGAGCTGGTCCTATATCGCTGTCAAAGGGTAGCTTCCACCCAGAGCTTACTTCAGTAATAAAGTGGTTCAAGCATGCAATGCGTTGAACCCTATTGTAATTGTCAAGATTTTTCTTCATATTCTTTTTCTTCCCTGAAACGGAATGCACAGCCCAAACCGTAAGTCCTAGAGACTTGAAACTTGGTCAATAGGTAGTCGTCCCTCCCGCTACTCAAGCGCAAGGAATCAGCCCAGTCGGTCACAAGGGGTCGCTATAGCGTAGGTCAACGCGTTTGGGTCTATAACTCCTAAATCAGATTTTTGCCAGACACGACACATTTTTTTCCTAGTTCCTTGGGTCCAACCAAACACCTTTTGCCATTTGGACCGTTTAGCTCCACCCACTTAGATTTTGAGCTAATTTGCATAATATGCGAAACCTACTTTTGCGAACTAGTCCTACAATTTTTGCTCGATCCTCATGTTTTTGGTGTCAAAAAATTCAGAAGAGCCTGAACCTCAATAATTATCAAAAACATTTTGTCTTTTCTAAACAACATGGCTGCCATATGCAAATGAACCCTTCTGGATAAATTCAAAATAATTCAGAATTAATTTAAAATTCTGTAACTCAACAACCCTTCAGCCAAAAAATTAAAACTTGACAGACACATTTGGGAGAAGATTCTGAGGTAGCCATTCGATTTTTGTGCGCATATGTCATTAGGGGGCGGAGTTAATGCTACATGGCTGTTTCTCAGCATCCGTAGATCCAATCAGGCTGAAACTTTGCAGATACCATCTGTTGGCCAGACTATAAGTGAATCCCTAAGGACAATTTGATTCATTGAAGTATATCGTCGCCATCGGCCAATCAGCATTTAGCAGGCTTTTGACAGGCTTAACTTTGACCAATCATCATGAAACTTGAATGATCTCTACATATAGCCACTTTCTAACAACCAATCAAGTTTGAAAAAATTTGACCACTGGGGGGCGCTATTCATAAAAATGAACATATTATTACTATTTTATTACAAGTTTGCTTGAACATCCTTGTGTATCATATGTAGTACGTTATTCCAAGTAATTTTACAAATGCATATTTATTACAAAACTGCATAGTATTTTTGTAATCGGTAACTGTTTAAAAAGCCTACTTTTTAAACTAGTCCCTGGATTTTGATCCAATCTTTTCAAACTTGGTCTGGAAAAATTCTTTGGCATGTGTAGGTAAATAATTATCAAAAACATGTTGACTTTTCTACTCAGGGTCATGTGGATCAATCAATTAATTACTGCGACCATGGCATTGTTAACTTGATTAACTATAACTCAACAATCATTGGTCAGATCATGTCCAAACTAATGGTGTCTGCCAATTTTGGTCCAGATTGGCCTTTAGGGGGCGCTTTAGCACTCAAAAACACTTAAAAATCAGTTAAAATGCTATTACAATGTTATTACAAGGTCGACAGATAAACAAATGGTGCCGTGTGCCTCAGTTCACTCTCATGAACAACTTTCTAATTACATGTTATGACAAAAATTGCACTGCTTGTCTTTTATTTTGGCTTATTCATTCAAAGATTTCACTATACAAAGGCTTATTATACAAAGGTCAAAAGGTCATTCTGACCAAAACTTGGTGAACCTCTTTGGATATGGTCCCTGATCAAGAATGAAACCATATTGTGGCCTTTTCACTAATTCTGACCCACTTTCACTGAGCTCCTCTACACCAATAGGGCCTCTTATGAGTGCATTGGGCCTCATTATGGCCTACGTGAAATCAATGGCTTAAATATAGAACCAATCCACTGTGCAAGTGCTACTATGTGAGAAATGCTGCCATTAGTCATGTAGTTTTGACATCTATGTTGACAACCTCTTGGATGTTCTACAAAGCAGTGTAGATCAGTACATATGAATATAAACCTATAATGTGTTTACAGACCTCTGATCGTTGTTTATGGCAACTGAAGGCCTTTTGATGAACTGACTTCCTTTCAGTTCTATTCACTCTGCCTATAAATAAGACCCACAGCTTGAGGCCTTTTTAGGTCTAATGGGCTAAACGAAAAGCTTGAGGCCTTTTTAGGCCTAATGGGCTAAACCTGCAGAAGGGCCCATACTGCTGTCGCATGCTTGAACCCACTCATTGCCGCTTGCCGCTATATATATATATATATATAAAAATTAACTTGAGTTTATTTAATTGTTGTAAGTTGGGTGCCCACCCCTTCACCCAA